CCCCAAAACCCCAAAACCCCAAAACCCCATTTATCCAGAATATTACTGAAGGGATGGATTGAAAGATAATTATTAATGTTTAAAAAACTATTCGGATCAAAAACTACAATCACAACTACTTAGACTACAGTTGTGCAATCTTAAGGCAATCTTGATCCCATGAATACAATGACAAGGCTTTAAGAATAAATGGATACAGTCGAGAAAAGAATCAAAAAGGTTGAGGCAGATATGAAGAGACTCCTTGCAGAGGCACTTTAAAAGAAGAAATAGAATGATAATAGAGGTAAAAAAGACTAAATAATGATTTTAAATTATTCAAATTATGTCTTTGGAATCATTAATCAATAATATATAGGGGCCATATTTGCATTGAAAAGAAAGAAGCTACTTGAAAAGGAAATAGCAAAACTTGATGGGTAAATGACTCTTTTGGAATCTTAAAGAATGATGATTGAGACAAGTGTCAGTGATACATAAGTATTCCAGACTTTGATCAAAGGCACTACCATGATCGAACATATATCCAAATAAGTCAGCATTGATAAACTAGAAGATATCAAAGACAAATTAGATGAGTAGCAATAAGATATGGAGGAAGTATAGGACTTCTTTATAAAATCTAGTCAAGTTGAGAACGAAGATGAACTTTTAGATGAGCTGAATGAGCTAGAAGCCTTTCAAGCATAGGAGGAACTTGATTAGATTGATATCGGTAAAAGACCAATTTTAGTAGGACCTAGTGCTGAAGATCAAGGAAAATCTAAAAAAATATCAAGTTAAAATATCAGTGATTAGGAATTAGATGATGAACTAAAAGAACTCGAGAGATTAATGGCTTGAAATTTAGCTTAATTTTAATAGTAAGGAAAAATGTGTGAATGTATAAATTGAAATGATTTAGTCTTAAGTGTCTCTATTCCACAGAATCTTTATGTAATACTTTCTAAGTAACTAATTTAAGAGTTTATATGCTTAATTTAACTCAATAATTCAGTCTTCCTTTTCTCTTTTTTTTATTGTTGCTTTTATGTCCTTTATTTTACTTTCAGCGTATTCTCTAAGAAATAGACTTTAGAAAAGTGCTATTAAGTGGATAACAAAGTCTTCTATATTTAGAGATACTCTCATCAAATTTATGTTGTCATTATCGTACTTAGAATTTCTATAAAGCTATTCTTCTACCTCACCATGAAAAGAGTCATCATCACCTGTAGGATTCACAAATTTGATGAATAAAGTGAGCAGCAATGCTAAAAAGCTAAGTATCAATCCAAATGTAATAGTAAAGAGGCCATTTCCCTTTTTAAGATACTTATACTCTTGCTTATCTTCCATCATTATAATGTAAAGATTATGTGATTAAACAAATAGGGGTACTGCTAAGTGTACTAATATTGAACTATCGAGAGTAAGTTTACCTTCAATCTTCACTACTATAAATACTATGATGATTCCTAGTATAACAACAAACATAAGAACCATAGATATTATATTAAGGATGTAAAAGATGGCTGTCCTCTTAGACTCTGGATAATCTGCATATAAACGTCTGTTTAATTCCCCTTATTTAATATCTTCTGGAAGAAATTCAGCATTTTGAGGGCCTTATTAAAATTTCTTATCTACAAGCATATCTAAAAACTTTTGCATTTACTGCTAATCTCTCAATTCTTAATTTGCTTCTCTCATTTTATATTTTGTAATTTTCAAACTAAAATAATGAAAATATTCTTAGATGGGGTTTTGGGGTTTTGGGGTTTTGGGG